AATTAAGACACATACTGCTTTGTGACATTGGTTGCCAACCCTGCGATGTGTCAGCACTCTCCCCTTCTCAACCTTGGGTTGCCTGTTACCGTTTACGTGTGGTGCTTTTCAGAGGTCGTCAGCCAATAGATAAGTCATCTTCTAACCAGCCCTGGCACCGGAACAAATCGAAACAGATTACCTCGTGGGGGTGGGTTCTGTCGGAATGCTGGCCTTTTCTGTAGGCTCCCGGCTAATGGCACCGCCCAGTAGTCGGGGCGGGGCCTATCGAAGGTGCGAAGGGAGAGCTTCAGACCCACGAATGTCAAAGCAGAAGTAAGGAGTAAGTAGAGGGTGCTTGCTTTGGGAGCACATATACTAAAATTGAAAACGACACAGAGAAGATTAACGTGGCCCCTGCTCAAGGATAAAACGCAAATTCGTGAAGCGGTCCATATTTTTAATCGTAGTGGTTAAGTGCTATGGCTGCTAAACAAAAGGTCAGCAGTTCAAATCCACCAGCCACTCCTTGGATATCCTATGGAGCAGTTCTACTCTGACGCTATGAGTCGGAATCAACTTCACGGCAGCAGCAACGAGTTCGTTTTTTTGGTAAAGGATGTCTGCCTTGAGAGTTGTGCTCTTTCAAGATTTATCTACATGAAATCAAATTGACAGCAGCAACTCAAAAGATTAGATAGGAAACTTGCGGGTAGTGAGTTTATGCTCATGAGGGAGGAACAACTCAGAAAAGGAGGGTGAGAATTGTTGCACAACTCGAAGAAAGTGATCAGTGTCACTGAATTGTAGATGTAGGAACTGTTGAATTGGTGTATGTTTTGCTGTGTATATTTTTAACAACAACAAAATAAAAAAAAGAAAGAAAAACGATGAGGTGACAAGACTAGTGGCCAGTTGCAACTTGGACAGTTGTAGGTTCAATTTCAAGCTCACCTCCAAGCTGCATGACTTTGGGTGAATTCTGAACCTCCCTTTGTTCACTTGTAAAATGGTAATAATAGCATCCATGTCTCCAGGTTTTTGTGAGGCTTAAATGAGATAATACACCTCAAAGGATTACCTCAGTGCCTGGGTCTTAATAATGCACTGAGAATGTTAGCTGTTTTTATGTAGATCTGTTAGTACAGAGTTTGGCACTTAGTGAGTGTTGAAAGAATGTTAATCATTGTTACAGAATGGTCTTAATATAAATGCAGTTGCTTTGTACCATTTTAAATCCTTTAGGGTCTGAGCAATCTAATATGGGGTTGAGAATGTGAATTTTGTAGTCAGACATGGTTCCAAATCTTAACCCAACTACTTCCTAGCTGTGTGACCATGAAAAAATCACTGCACCTCTTTTGTCCTTGGCTTTTTCATCTGTGAAATGTAGGTAATATAATAGAACCTACATTGTAGAGTGTTGTGAAAATTGAATGAGATAATGCAGGCGAAGCATAATCTTTCGAGTCAAACTGCTTGGGTCTGAAACTTCTTACTTTCAAATGCAGGATGCAGACCTTACCACTCACTAGTTGTGAACCCTTGGGCAAATTTCTTAACCTCTTTTTGCCTCAGTTTCCTCATCTGTAAAATGGGAATAATAATAATAATATCTACCTGATAATGTTGTTGGGAGGATTAAAAGTATATAAAGAGCTTGGCATATGTCTGGCACAGAGAAAGAATTTAATAATCATTAGCTATTATTATTTTTGGAGTACTTGGCTACTAACTGAAAGGTTGATGGGTCTAATACGTCCAGAGGTGCCTTGGAAGAAAAGCCTGGCAATGTACTTCTGAAAGATCACAGCCATTGGAAACCCAATGGAGTGCAGTTCTACTCTGAAACACATAGGATCTCCATGAGTCTGAATCTACTTGATAGAAACCGGTTAGTATATGGTAAATGCTCGATACCTGTTGACTGGTGTTAAAACTAGGGGAATTCCATATCTTGGTCTTAAAGGCCCAGTTCAAATTCTCTCCCCTCTGTGAAACATATTCTAACTTATTTATAATAACTTGGGTGATTTTGCTCGGTAAATGTAATAGCAACATATAAGCTCTTCTTGTTAATGAAGTCCCATATAGTCCTATGAGGTTATCCACAATTTGCAAGACGAAATAGCCAGTAAGTGCCAGGGCTGGGATTTGAACCCCTGGGCATGTGACTCCAAAGATCTCAGCCCCACACTGCATGTGGAAAAGGTCAAGAGCCAGGGGTGGAGGATGCAGTAGGACAGTGTGGCGTGCTTGGAGGGCTGGAAAGCAGGGCAAGAAGACATTTGAGAGAGTGTCAGGACCTGAAGCTGGAAAGGCTGCTTTGCAGGATCAGGTAAGGACTTCACTCCAGGATCATCTACCCTGAAGAGGAGGAATGGAGGCGAGGGTGCGCAGAGAGAGAAGGACACCATTAGGACACAAGAGGGCGCCCCTCACCCTAAATCCAGTCTGGAATTGTTCTATGGTTTCCTTTGGTCTTTGTCGTTGCATTTTACAGAAGAGGAAACTAAGTCCCTAAGAGGCCGAGTGCTCTGCCCAGTGTCATATAGAAATAAGTGAGTTCTCTGGTTCTCCCTGGTTCACTTTGGTGCAGCATCCACCAGGATTTGATTTGCAAGCATTCTGTCCACAATTTTCTATGGGGACCCTTTCTGAGCTGGGTCAGCCTTAGGTTCTAAGGATGCAGAGATGAATTAAACCTCGTCCCTGCCCCTAGGGCTTGACCTCCAAACTTCTCTGCTCAAGCATCCCAGTAAATAAAACATGTTTGAGCACACGTTCCCAGTATGCATGCATTTATTTACTTATAAATTACATACATGAATAACAATAGCTAACTTTTTTTTTTATACTTCTGGACAATTCATTTAAGTGTCTAACTTATCTCTATTATTATGTATTTATTATTTAACTTTGGGAGGGAAAGGACCAATACTATTTTTGTTTGTTTGTTTGTTTGTTTTGTTTTTTGCCTCTGTATTATTTTTAGTTTTATGTATTTTATTGCATTACGGAGCTCTGGTGTCTCAGTGGTTAAGCATTTGGCTGCTGACCAAAAGGTTGGCAATTTGAATCCACCAGCTGCTCCTTGGGAACCCTATGGGGCAGTTCTACTCTGTCCTATAGGGTTAATGAGTTAGAATTGACTCAGTGGCAACGGGTTTGGTTTGGTGGTTTTATTGTGATTTAGGTGAAGGTTTACAGAGCAAATTAGTTTCTCATTAAACAATTAAGACACATACTGCTTTGTGACATTGGTTGCCAACCCTGCGATGTGTCAGCACTCTCCCCTTCTCAACCTTGGGTTGCCTGTTACCATTTATCCAGCTTTCCTGTCCCCTCCTGCCTTCTTATCCTTATCCCTGGGCTGGTGTGCCCATTTAGTCTCGTGTACATGGTTGAGCTGTGTATATTATTGTTTGTTTTATAGGCGTATCTGATCTTTGGCTGAAGGGAGAACCTCAGGAGTGACTTCAGTACTGAGTTAAAAGGGTGTCCAGGGGCCATACTCTCGGGATTTCTACAGTCTCTGTCAGACTAGTAAGTCTAGTCTTTTTTTGTGAGTTTGAATTTTGTTCTACATTTTTCTCCAGTTCTGGCTGGTACCCTCTAACAATAGCTAACTTTTATTGAAAATTTGCAGTGCATTAGGTCATATCCCCAGTGCTTTATACATATTAACTCATTTAATTCTCAACAAACTCTTTGAGGGAGGGTCTAATACTAACACAGAAGAGGAAACTGAGGTATAGAGAGGTTAAGTACCACGCCAAAAACATATGGCTAAAAAGCAGGCAGGCTAGCTCTGGAGGAAGGTGAGATTAAAAAAATAAATAGAAGTTATAACTTTTTCTTCCTAAACCCCTGTGGATCATCTTGTGCACCCTACTTTGGAAACCATTGCTCCAGGGGCTCCCAGACCTACGAGAGGGACAGTATACTGTGATCAGTACTCTGAGAAAAGGAAGTACAGGAAACTGTGGGAGCCCAGAGTCAGCAGTTTACCCAGGCTAGGAGATTAGGGAAGACTTCTGGAGAAAGTGATGGCTGAGCTGAAAGTTAAAGGATGCACTGGCGTTCCCCAAAGGAAGGGGTGTTCTTGGGAGAAGGAGCAGCGCTTGCAAAGTTCCCAAGGTTAAAAAAAAAAGAAAAGGCATACTGGGAACTACAAGTGGTTTAGCATAGCCAGAGTGCCAAGTGCCAAGGGGAGTGGGTTTCTTCTCCCAGTGTTGCTATAAGGATCAAACAAGATGATAGATGTGAACGTGCCTTTATGTTTTTATTGAGGGAACAGGCAATCAGTCTGCTACCACCTGGGCAGATTCTCAGCTGCTCAGCTTTTTGGTCCTCGGCTGTCCATCTCTTCTATAACCCACAAGGCAAAAGGAGTCCCTCTACCCCTTGAAGATCTGATTGAACTTGGCCTGGACCTCAACCCACATTTTAGGACTGTCCAGAGCTCTTCCTTCTCCTCTACACTTTCCATGAATTCCCAGTCTTATTTCCTTGGGCTTCAGTGTCTGTGACCCTAGAACCTTAGCTTTCTGCCTCAAGTGGATTTCCATTAAAAAAATGAAAATAAAAATCCAATCAAGCCAAGCATTTCACGGACTCAGTAAATTTACTGACAATTTGGAAATCTTGAGATCACATCCAATGCCACACAGCCACCTGCCATCTCCCAAATGTTCTCATTCAGCCTCCAGAGCCTTCCCAAACCCTGTGTTCCCAACATTTGACCCTCTCTGCACAAGCAGCACCCCATCTCCCACCAGGTGCTGAGTTCAAGCTCATGCCCCCATATATGCCCACTATTTCCCTGCTAGGCTGTCTTGCTTTTATCTACCTCCACCCTCCAACACCTGTGTACCTACTCTACCATTACCCAGACTGTCCCAGCCTCCTCCCCAGCCAAGCCCAGAAGTCGGCCTTTCTTTCATCTTCCCTGGGCCACATGTGATAGTCTCCTCGGCGGAGCAGCAAGGCTAGTCTATGGTAGTGGGGGAGCTGGTGGCGGGAGATAGGCTCCAGGAAGACCAGCAGCAGCGCTGGTAGGTAGGGGGCAGCCAACAGGAGGGAAGTGGCCAGGCGGAGCTCCAGGCGGCAGCGAGGTGTGCACAGGGCCTGTCGACTCAGCACACACAGTGTGATCTGGCTGCCCACCATGCTGTCTGCCAAATTGTCGGCCACGTCCTTGCCTGGCTCAAAATCCCGCTCAGGGAGGCAGACACGCAGGCCCCAGCCAGCCGGAGGGCAGCCCTCCAGAGTAGGCAACAGCTCCTGCACCACCCAGCCCTGGTCTTGCCTGCAGTGGGACACGAACACGTCATAAACGAACCTCTTGCCCTCACTCCTCTGACCCCTCAGACCCTGGAGCCAAGCCCTGAACAAGGTCCGGAGATAGAGGATCCAGTTCCTGGCCTCCTGTAGGAAGGGCAAGGAGATCAGCAGAAGCAGCAGGGCAGAGCTGCCCAAAAAAAGCTCTAGCCCCAAGGTCTTGGGACAGTGGCTCCAGAGAAAGGGGAAAAGGAGTCTTTTGGAGTGGTCCCCAGCTTCTGTCTGGCACAGCTGGCGCGTTGTTATGTGCACGTATGTTCTGGGCGACCGCTCGAGCCAGGGCCCCACCCAGGCATTGGCACACTGGCAGGCCAAGGACGAAGTGAGAAAATACATGTACTGGGGCATCTGGGGGCTGTGTTCCTGGAGGCTGGCATCCAGCACAAGGCCTTTCTCCCAGCCCAGCACTAAGATCTGAAGATTGCACAGACCTTGGAAAGCAGCAGCAGACAGTGTCTCCAGCCCTGTTTGCTCCAGCTGCAGCACCTGGAGCATCGGCAGCTGGCCCACCAGCTCCTCAAGCCGCAGTGGGCGCGGCCGGGCTCGGGACTGCAGATTATGCAGCTTCAGCTCCCACAGGCTAGGCAGCCCTGTGATGCAGCAGGGTCTGAGGCTATGCCCGTCCCCCCTCACCTGCAGCTGCTTGAGCCCAGGGAGCTGCCAGAGGAAGAAGCGGGAGGTGTCCTGTGAGCAGAGGGCCTCCAAGCTATTGCCAGAGAGGGAGAGTTGGTGAAGGGCAGGGAAAATCTTGGAGACATTTTGGACCCCCAGCTGCAGTCCCCAGCCTTTTAGGGTCAGGGTCTGTAAGACTGGAAAGACATTAGTAACCAGCTTCCAAGGCTTCGTGCCTGAAACTGCATGAAGCTCCAAACTGGCTAGCCCCATAGGCAGGGACAACATTCTGGGAGGCCCAGAGACGAGCCCCAGTCTCAAGTTGTTCAATCTTTCTGGGCCCCAGAAGTCCCAGGTTGAGCTCAGCGCCATCCGGGTGTCTAGCAGGTTTAGGGTGGTCAGTGCGGGTAGAGATGCCAGCCAGCCCTTGTCCAGGGCTACCAGTGGATTCCCACTCAAGTCCAATGTCTCCAGCCTCCTCAGGCCCTGGAACACCTGGCTATCCAGGTCAAACAGCTGGTTTCCCTGAAGTAGCAGCTCCCGCAGGTGGGGCAAACAGGAGAAGGTGTCTGAGGGCATGGTATACAGCCCATTGTTAGACAGATCCAAGGCCCGCAGTCCTGACTCAGCCCCTGTCCCATTCATGCACAGCATGGAAATCTGCAGTTGGTTGATTGTCAGTTTTAATGTCTGAAGTCTGGGCATAGCGGCCAGGAAGCCTGGTGGCAGATGAATCGGATGATTGCTCTTAAGATCCAAGCTCTTTAGGCTGTGGCAGGAAGCCAGAGCCTCGGGAGCTATGCGCCTTATCTGAGTGAGTCCCAGATGCAGCTCTTGCAGCCCAAAGTGAGCAATTACCCTGACAGGCAGCTCAGCCGTGTCAGTTTTCTTCGCAGACAGGGCACCCAGCCTCTGCAGTCCCAGTCCCACCACAGCAGCTGCGTCCGTATTTGTGTGATCCAGATGCAGAGTCCTCAGCTGGAGGCCCTGGAGGGCCCCAGGGCTGGTCATGTTCAGCCGTTTGTTGAATGACAAGTCCAGCGTGTCCAGGGACCAGGCATCCCCAGAGGAGGAACCTAGCACCAGGTCTGGGAAGATGTCAGCCAGAACTCCCACATTCTGCAGGCAGCTGTACGTCACAGCCAGCTGTTGTAGACTGGGAGGCAGCCGGACACCCAAGCTCCCGTACAGGCAGGGACCCAAGAAAGTAAGGCGCTGGAGGGAGCTCAGGTTGCCAAAGGCGTCAGGAGGTAGATAGAGAAAATCCATGTGGCTGTTTATGAAAGTGAGCTGCTGCAGCTGCTCCAAGCCCTGGAGGGCTCCTGGTAGCAGCTGGGTGAAATGCAGATTCAGCCCCAGGATCTTGAGCCCAGGGAAGTGGGAGAAGGCATCCGGGGGCAGGACAGAAATGGAACCAGAGAGACAGAGCCCCTCCACGCTCTGCGGCACAGCCTTCAAGACCTGTGTCAGGTTGGTCACTGAGGAGCATGAGGCAAAGAGGCGCAGGCTGGAATCCAAGAGGCAGAGCTGGACATATCGGGAGACCAGAGGCAGATGAGAGCCTTTGGTCACTAGGCAGTTGAAAGCAGTCCAGGCTGTGATCATAGGAAGGGACAGGAGCAGACCGGGCAGCAGCAAGTGTTTGTCCATCTCAGTGCCAAGCCTGGTCCACAGAGAGGCAGAATCAGAATCCCACTATCTGCTCCCCTGCCTGTTTGGAGAGCAACACAATACTCACGGCAGTGACAGGATACACAGCTCCAAGTATACCCAGGAGAGTCTGGAAGCAAAGTCAGAGGGCTGCAATGCTCCCAAGCTTTAGAACTGCTCAAGAATTTAAGGGGAGGGTGGGACCAGACTAGGAGATGCCTATAGCTGAGGACCCAGGGGTCAGGGAAAGGAGGAAGTAAACCAGTGGTGAGGAGAGACCCAGGTCTCACTTCTCTGTAATGAGGAAGCAAGCAGCATTTCTGAGCACAAAAAGATTTGGGACTAGAGGTCCAGGATCCCACTGTCGTTTTCCAGGGCAGTGCGCTTCACGTCTCTGAACCTCAGTTTCCTCATCTGTAAAATGAGCATACTAATGCCTGCTTCACAGGATTGCTGCCAATTATACATGGGTGGCAGAATGAGGTTTCTCTCTTAATCACCCCTTTTACTAGTTCCTCCTCTTACTCCTAATAGAAAAAGGATCATTGGTAAATCAGGATTAAAAAGCAGATGTTTTGTATATAAAATAATACGTTGAAATGATGCCATCATGGACATCTTGAAATGTTCCACACTGAACATTCCAAAAGGCCCAAACCTCACCTAAGAGGACTGTAGGGATCTATTGATTCCCTTCCAGTATGGAGCAAGGAAGGAAGGTTTCCGTGGCTTTGACCTTGACATGCACTACCAGGATGGAGCCAGGACTCCAAGACAGAGCAGAAAGAGAAAAGAAAAGGGGCTTTATAATTTTCCTAAACAATACAGCAAACCATTCAATAAAATTCAATATCTGTTTATGATTTAAAAAATAAAAGTATCTGACTAATAAAGGATATCTACCCCAGGTCTACAACAAATACAATGAAACCTGGGAGAGCCGGAACTCAGTGGGACTGCCTTGTTTTTCCAGGTCTCCCAAGTTTTCCGCCTTTGACAGAGTGCAGTCTTACCACTTTTCTATCACTTGTTTTAGTGGAAAATATTTGAGTTTTCCTTCTCTGACAGGTTTCCGCCTTACACATGTTCCGACTTTCGCAGAACCATCAGTTCCATTCAAGGCCAGGAATGAGAGTTGTAATTATTTCTGTTCAACATTATACTGGCGGCCTTGAGTGTGTGTATTGGGTGCCGTTGAGTCCCTTCTGACTCATAGTGACCCCATGTGACAGAGTAGAACTACCCTATAGGGTTTTCTTGGGTATGATCTTTACGGAAGCAGATCATCAAGTCTTTCTCCCATGGGGCTGCTGGTTGGGTTTGAGCCTCGAACCTTTTGCAGTCAAGTGCTTAATCATTTGTCCCACTGGGGCTCCTTCTGGAGGCTTTCGCCAGGGGAATAAGAAAGAAAAAAAAAATTATAAGTATTTCAAAGGAAGAAACAGAAAGATTGCCATTTACAAGATGACATAAATGTCAATAATATAAATGTCCAAGGATTTCTAAAAACAAACTGTTAAAACTAAAGAGGGTTTGGAAGAGATGCTGGATACTAGATACTTTCTTTTTCTTTTTTTTTTTTTTTTATTGTTGTAATTAAATGAAGTTTACATTTCAAGTTAGTCTCCCATACAAAATTTTTATACATACGTCGTTATGAGACCCTAATTGCTCCCCCCAGTCTGTGACCGCACACTCCTCCCTTTGGATACTAGATACTTTGTAAAACTGTCTAATACACCAGTGTATTAGTCAGGGTCTCAACAGGAAACAGATAACACATTCAAATTGGGATTTTTAAAAGAGGTTTGTATGCGAGTGCAGGGGTACCACAAAGGGTATCTTTGTGGGGTTTTTTTTCCCTAAATAGGCCACAAAACCACTAGTCGTAAAAGATTTTATAATTAAACTTCACTAAAATTAAGAAATCCTGTCCATTAAATAATATAATTATTTTTCTCACACATCGTCTCACACATTAGGAGAAGATAATTAGCAATATGTACAACAAACGACTTATAGATATGGAGCATAAGAAAGATGTAATTTTTAATAATGCGTGAGTCAAAGAAGGAATGATGATGAATATTAGAAGATATTTTGAATTGAACAATAGCTTTAATACTACATATCAAAACTTCTGGGATGACACTAAAGCAATATCTATGTGGAAATGTATACATTAGAAAACAAATAGCAAAAGATGAAATTAATGAGCCAGGCAACCAACCACCTCAAGAAGTTAGAAAACGAGCAGTTAAGAAAAAAGACTTCCACTTCCCCTATTATAGAGTAACTGATACCAGACTAGCCTTCCCACCATAAACAGCTGGAAAACTGAATGAAGTATATGAAACAACTTTCTTACAGACATTAGACAAACTGGATCCATTGCTATAGAAAAAAAGGAAAGAACATAAATATATATCCTGTGACTTACTATTGTAAGCATTAACGTAAGCATGGAAAAGAAATTATGACACATTCATTTAATGGAATATTGTACAGCAGTGAAAATGAATGCACTAGGACCCCATGTGGATAAATCTCAAAAATATAATTTTGAATGGAAAAAACAAATAGCGGAAGAATCCACTTTGTATGTCATCATTTGTATAAAGTTTAAAATATGCAAACAAATACAGATACTCTCCTATGTTTTCTTCTGAAAGATTTGTTATCTTGTTTTCACATTTAGGCTTTTGATGCATCTTGAATTATTTTTTGTGAACCCATTTCAACTGCAACTTCCTACCACTATTTCCAGGCTTATAGAGAATAGCCATTACAATGTTTTTTCAAAGATGACAGTGTTCCCCCTCTCTAATGTATTTCTTAATACCTTCACAAAGGGATTATCTTCTAGACCCATCCTGGGAATATACTTAGGAGGTGAGGAACCCCTTGTACCTGGAAATATACTCAGTATTCTGATCTCCCTTCTATATTACACCAAGGAATTTACGGCATCTTAACTTTGTTTAGTAGACCACTGTTTAGTCTAAGATTCAGTCAACCAACAAAGCAAACAATTAGAACCCCTTCTGGCTACTCAAACTGGCATATTGAAATCAAGCCCTCTGGTAAATGCATCCATATCATTAAATTCAGTCCAATCTAAAATTATATTTTTCTTCCTTGATCTGGCACCTTCAGAATCTATTTCTACATGTATTCTTCAGATTTTACCAGTATAAATTAGCAAACCCTTACCCTTATTTGCCTCTCCTCTTGGGTTTGACTTTGTAATCACCCTACAGGTATACTGAAATCTGACTGTATTTATACATCTCTAGATTATGAGGAAAGTAGCTTTCCATTTGTACCAGTTCTGGGCCTGTTTTCTCCAATCCATTCCTCTCTTTCTCCTGCTTTGCTCCATATCACAGGTGGGTTGATAATTATAGGTCATATTTTCTGACTTCTGCCTGAGTAAGATGTTGGAAGGAGCTCTGGTGGTGCAGTGGTTACAAGCTCAGCTGCTAACCTAAAAGTCCGGTTCAAACCTACCAGCCGCTCCTCGGGAGAAAGGGGTGGTAGTCTGCTTCTGTAAAGATTTACAGCCTTAAAAACCCTATGGAGCAGTTCTACTCTGTCTGATAGGGTCACTGTGAGTTGGAATCAACTCAAATGCAACAGGGTTGGTTTTGGTTTTAAGAGGTTGGAGGGCAGGAGAAAGAGACAAGCCAGTTCTATCTTGGTGCCACCTTCTTAGTTTCCTAGAAATACCACAAGCAGTGGTTTAAAGAACAGAAATTTATTTTCTCACAGTTTAGGAGGTTAGAAGTCTGAATTCAGGGCACCAACTCTAGGGGAAGGCTGTCTCTCTGTCCACTCTGGTGGGATATCCTTTTCTCAACTTCTCTAGTCCTGATGTTCCTTGGTTCCTTGGCAATCTCCACGTGGCATCTATCTTTCCCTGATATGTGCTTGCTTGCTTCTGTGCCTAATCTGTTCTTTTCATATCTCAAAAGTGACTAGGTTTAAGACATACCCTACACTAATATGGCTTCATTAACAAATAAAACCTATCCCCAAATGGGATTACATCCAAAGGTATAGGGGTTAGGATTCCAGCACATATTTTGGGGGCATGCAATTCAGTCCATAACATCTTGGATGACTCCAAGTCCTGCAGGACAGACATACCATAGTTCCAGCTTCCACTGGGTAACTCTGGGCACTGGGCTCCAGTAACGCTGCCTCTTCTCCTTGTTCCTGCCTCCTGCTTCTTTAATCACATTCATAAAATACTGTTAGCTTTCAACTGGAGACTTGAGCTGAGTAGTTAGGATATGAGTTTGTACAGTGTTTGAGTTTGTACAGAAGCAACCATCCCACCCTCATGGTCCTTGAAGTCTTCATACTCCTCACACTGCTGTTTAACAAGGACCACTTAGCATCTCAGAGCCCTGCCATCAATGGGAAGTTCATTCCAGGTGACTAGGAATTTTAATTAGACTGTTTCACCATTGTATGCCTGACCTATCAGCTTCCTGTTATTTAACGCTGGATTTGCACTGCCCTTGGTCCCAACAAGTGCAAATAACCAATCTCTAGATTCTCCCTCTTTCCTGAGGGTCTGTTGTCTATGACCATTCCTTGTACAATTTCTGCCTCGGTTAGGGTTTAATTATATGCAACAGAAAATGACTCTGACTGATTAAAGCAGAAAAGGAATTTATGAAAAGCATTTGTGGTAGCTCATGGAATTTTCAGGAGGTCTTGAGAACCAGACCCAGTGGCAACACAGCCAGAAACAAGACCCCAAATCACACTACAGAATTGATCCAGCGAGGACACCACTTTCGCTGCTGCTGCTGTGGCTACCTTGCACTGCCAATCCATCAGAAGCTGGACGCTGGAGCTGCTACTAGACTGGAAACCAGGGTAGCTCTTTGCTCCTGCTCTTTCCCATTATCAGAAAGAGAGTCTGCTCATTCTTCCTGCTTTTTAACATCACTACCTTATAATTCAAAGTCAAGGGTAGGGGCATCTGATTGGGAAAAACTAGTCCATGGGCCTGCACGACAGCTCAAAGAAGGTTGAGAAAGCAAGCCTCTGTCATTTTCATCTTCTCTAGTG